TCAAACATCGGCATAATAAGCCTTGCTCCTGTTATCATCAGGCATGTAGTAGAATCCTTTTGGATGTCAAAACTGGTTTGAAGGGGGATTTTTGTTGATTTTGAAAAGGATTTCTCGGTATTTTGTACGAATTACATTTCAATTTCATCTCTACATTGGAGAGATATTTAGCCATTTTGAAGATTAAAATCACATTTTATAACCATTTTACATCAAGATTGAAAATGTTCAAGCATACTTATCTCATTTATAAGAGGAGGCGGCAGAGGAAAAGTATCAAACTACTAAGTGCAACGGAAAATTAAGCCACCCAAATATTCTGTTCTAGTGGACAATAATTGGTCTAAGATAGAAAGCAGAAAAATTGAAATATCAGTGCAGCAAGGCAATTTTGGCGAGACAAATGGTGCCTGAGTTCACACGTAGCCACCATTAACACGAATGACCTGTCCATTGACCCATTCACCAGCATCGCTTGCCAAGAACCCAACCACAGGAGCCACATCATCCGTCTCCCCCAGCCTGCCCAAGGGACACGCTTCAACCGCCGCTTTCACCATCTCCTCCGTCTTACCGGAGAAGAACATCTCCGTTGCCACCGGTCCCGGCGCTACGCAATTTGCCGTTATCCCAGTCCCTTTCAGCTCCTTGGCTAGTATTTTCACCAGGGTCTCCACTGCCGCCTTCGACGCAGCGTATGCACCGTAGCCTTCTTTCGAAGATGCCACCGTCGACGATGTCAGGCATATAATCCTCCCTCCTCTGCCCTGCTTGATCCTGTTGGCCGCTTCTTTACAGCAGAGGAATGCCCCACGTGTGTTCACGTTGAAGGTGTTATCGAAATCTTCTATTGTGGTGTTAAAAACGTTGGGGAACTTGGAGTCGAGGACGCCGGCTGAGTTGACCAGGATATCGACAGGAGAATTGAAGGCTGACTCGGCCGCGTCGAACAAGGATTTCACCTGAGCCGGATCAGAGATATTGGCCCGCGCCGTGATGGCTTGTGGGACGGAGGATCCGGCGTTAATTTGGGAGGCGACGAGGTCGGCCTGAGCCGAGCTGGAGGTGTAATTGATGACCACCTTGGCTCCCATGGAGGCCAAATGGAGCGCTATGGCTCTGCCGATCCCACGGGACGCGCCGGTGACGATTGCCACTCTGTCTTGGAGTGAGTGCTTGCTTCCTTCAGCCATTGACAGAATGATTACGTGCACTGTTAGTTAATGATGAAAAGGGGGAAATCTCAATTAATCGGATCAGATTAGATCAGATCCACTGATTCAACTGGAAAAATCAAAATCCCTGTTGGAAATCCGTCCAAGATTTTTTCAGAATAATAAAAATTACCTT